GAACTTGATGAGGTTGTCGAACCTTTATTTCAACCAGAGAATGATGCAACATAGAAAGATGTTTTCTGTGGCACCTACGTCTGTTGAATAGGAAGTTAATGATAGTGATCATGAAGCTTCGGATCAAGTTGCTATCGAACCTCGTAGGTCGACAAGGATATGTACTACTCCTGAGTGGTACGGTAATCCTGTCTTAGATATCATGTTGTTAGACAACAATGTACCTACGAGCTATGGAGAAGCGATGGTGGGCCCGTATTCCGACAAATGGTTAGAAGCCATGAAATCCTAGATAGGATCCATATATCAGAACAAAGTATAGACTTTGGTGGACTTGCCCGATAATCGGCAAGCCGTTGAGATAAATGGATATTTAAGAAGAAGACGGACGTGGGAGGTAATGTTACCGTCTAAGAAGCTCGACTTGTGGGAAAGAATTTTTTCACAAGTTCAAGGAGTTGACTACGATGAGAATTTCTCACCCGTAGCGATGCTTAAGTCTGTCGGAATCATGATAGCATTAGCTGTATTTTTCGATTATGAAATCTTACAGATGGATGTCAAAACAAGATTTCTTACCAAGTTTTCGTAAGAAAAGTTGTATGTGATACAATAAAAGGTTTTGTCGATCCTAAGGATGCTAAAAGGTATGCTGGCTCCAGCAATCCTTCTATGGACTAGAGCAAGCATCTCGGAATCGGAATATATGTTTTGATGGAGTGATCAAAGCTTTTAGGTTTATACAATGTTTGCTAGAAACTTGTATTTATAAGAAAGTGAGTGGGAGCACTACAACATTTCTGATAAGTATATGTGGATGACATATTGTTGATCCGAAATGATGTAGAATTTCTGGAAAGCATAAATGGTTGTTTGAAGAGTGATTTTCAAAGGAAGACCTGGATAAAGCTGCTTACACATTGGGCATCAAGATCTATAGAGATAGATCAAGACGCCTGATGGTACTTTCAAAGAACGCACATCTTGACATGTTTTTGAAGGAGTTCAAAATAGATCAGTCAAAGAAGGGGTTCTTACCTGAGTTGTAAGGTATGAAGTTGAGTAAGACTTAAAGCTTGACCACGGCATAAGAAAGAGAAAGGACGAAGGTTGTCCCCTATGCTTTTGTCATAGGCTCTATACGGTATGCCATGCTGAAGTACCGCACCTGATGTGTGCCTTGCCACATGTCTGGCAAGAGGGTACAAAGGTGATCTAGGAGTAGATCACCAGATAGCGGTCAAAATTATCCTTAGAGGAATAAGGAAATGTTTCTCGGTTATGGAGGTGATAAAGAGTTCGACGTAAAGAGTTACGTCGATGCAAGCTTAACACCTATCCGAATAGCACTGAGTAGAGATATCGGATACGTATAATGGAGCAACAATTTGGAATAGATCCAAGTGGAACGTGGCAGCAGCATCTACGATATAAAGTTTTGCAAAATACATAGGGATCTGAATATGGCAAGACCCGTTGACTACAACCTCCCTCACAAGCATAACATGATCAAACCCAGAACTCTTTGAGTGTTTATCACATAGTGATGTGAACTAGATCATTGAGTGTAGTAAACTCTTGGATGTTGGTCACATGGCGATGTGACCTGTGAGTGTTAATCACATGGCGATGTGAACTAGATTATTGACTCTAGTGCAAGTGGGAGACTGTTGGAAATATGCCCTAGGGGCAATAATAAATTAGTTATTATTATATTTCCTTGTTCATGATAATCGTTTATTATCCATGCTAGAATTGTATTGATAGGAAACTCAGATACATGTGTGGATACATAGACAACAACATGTCCCTAGTAAGCCTCTAGTTGACTAGCTCGTTAATCAATAGATGGTTACGGTTTCCTGACCATGGACATTGGATGTCATTGATAATGGGATCACATCATTAGGAGAATGATGTGATGGACAAGACCCAATCCTAAGCCTAGCACGAAGATCGTGTAGTTCGTATGCTAAAGCTTTTCTAATGTCAAGTGTCATTTCCTTAGACCATGAGATTGTGCAACTCCCGGATACCGTAGGAGTGCTTTGGGTGTGCCAAACGTCACAACGTAACTGGGTGGCTATAAAGGTACACTACAGGTATCTCCGAAAGTGTTTGTTGGGTTGGCACGAATCGAGACTGGGATTTGTTACTCCGTGTAACGGAGAGGTATCTCTGGGCCCACTCGGTAGGACATCATCATAATGTGCACAATGTGACCAAGAAGTTGATCACGGGATGATGTGTTACGGAACGAGTAAAGAGACTTGCCGGTAACGAGATTGAACAAGGTATCGGGATACCGACGATCGAATCTCGGGCAAGTATCGTACCGCTAGACAAAGGGAATTGTATACGGGATTGATTGAATCCTTGACATCGTGGTTCATCCGATGAGATCATCGTGGAACATGTGGGATCCAACATGGGTATCCAGATCCCTCTGTTGGTTATTGACCGGAGAGTTGTCTCGGTCATGTCTGCATGGTTCCCGAACCCGTAGGGTCTACACACTTAAGGTTCGATGACGCTAGGGTTATAGGGAATAGATATACGTGGTTACCGAATGTTGTTCAGAGTCCCGGATGAGATCTCGGACATCACGAGGAGTTCCGGAATGGTCCGGAGGTAAAGATTTATATATGGGAAGTCCTGTTTTGGTCGCCGGAAAAGTTTCGGGTATTATCGGTAATGTACCGGGACCACCGGGAGGGTCCCGGTGGTCCACCAAGTGGGTCCACCAGCCCCGGAGGGCTGCATGGGCCAAGTGTGGGAGGGGACCAGCCCCAGGTGGGCTGGTGCGCCCCCCCACCAGGGCCCAAGGCGAAGAGAGAATGGAAAAAGGGGAAACCCTAGGCTCAGATGGGCCTAAGGCCCACCTAGTGGTGCGCCCCCCTCTCTCCCCCCTTGGCCGCCCCCTAGATGGGATCTAGGGCTGGCCGCCACCCCTAGGGGTGGAAACCTAGGTGGGGGCGCAGCCCGTCCCTTTCCCCTATATATAGTGGGGGTTTTGGGCTGCCAGTAACACGAGAACATCTCCTTCTTGGCGCAGCCCTACCCCTCTCCCTCCTCGTCTCTTGCGGTGCTTGGCGAAGCCCTGCTGGAGTACCACGCTCCTCCACCACCACCACACCGTCGTGCTGCTGCTGGATGGAGTCTTCCCCAACCTCTCCTTCTCCCCTTACTGGATCAAGGCGTAGGAGGCGTCACCAGGCTGTACGTGTGTTGAACACGGAGGTGCCGTCCGTTCGGCACTAGGATCATCGGTGATTTGGATCACGACGAGTACGACTCCATCAACCCCGTTCACTTGAATGCTTCCGCTTAGCGATCTACAAGGGTATGTAGATGCACTCTCCTTCCCTCGTTGCTAGATTACTCCATAGATTGATATTGGTGATGCGTAGAAAATTTTAAATTTCTGCTACATTCCCCAACACGTACTGCATGAAAATTCCCACCCGTGTACACACCAACGTCGCCGAATAGGAAAGGAGAGGAGATTGCAGCTAATTTTGATTACTCACTGATGGGGAAGTTGCATGGAAAACAAAAAAATCCTACGGAACACCCAAGATCTAATGTATGAAGATGCTAAAAACGAGAGTGGAGTATGTCTATATACCCTTATAGACTGAAAGCGTTAACGATCTAGAGATCGTGGTTGGCGTAGTCGTACTCCTTCATGATCCAATCCGATCTGAGTACCGCACGAACGGCACCTCCGAGATGTGCACACGTACGGCTCGGTGACGTCTCCTCCTTTTTGATTTAGCAAGCAAGGGATAAGAGGTAGATGGGATCTGAACCAACATGATGGCGTGGTTGTGGTGGTGGCAGCGAAATTCCGTCAGGGCTTCGCTAAGCTCGTACTGGAGAGGAGGTGGAGGGAGATGGGAGAGGCAGGCTAGCAATGGATGGGTCGCCGTCCCCATGCACCTCCCCTCTCTTTATATAGGCTAGGGGGCAGGGAGGGGCTGCCAAAACCCTCCTAGGGCCAGCCACAAGGGAGAAATCCTTTTAAATTTAGAGATAAGATATTATCTCTAGATTTAACCCTTTAAATTTAGATGTAAGACCTTATCTCTAGATTTAAATGACATGGGCCTTGGGAGCTGGTGCGACCAACCCATGTGGGTTGTTGGCCCACTCCTCGGTCCATGTGGGCCCTTCCCAGGTCATTGGGCCCCACGGTGGAACCCCTGAACCTTCTCGGTACTCTATAAAAAATTCCCTAACTTTTTCGAAACCCTGAAAAACACTTTCCATATATAAATCTTTACCTCTGAACCATTCCGGAGCTCCTCATGATGTCTCGGATCCCATCTGAGACTCCAAACAATATTCAGTCTCGTCAGTATGAATATCCCAATACTACCCTAGCTTTACCGAGAACCTTAAGTGTGTGATCCTACGGGTTCGAGAACATGCCGACATGACCGAGACACCTCTCGGATCAATAATCAATAGCGGAACCTGGATGCCCATATGAACTCCCACACATTCATCGTAGATTTTTATCGGTCTGAACCACGATGTCGAGGATTCAGTTAATCTCATATACAATTCCCTTTGTCCGGCGATATGTTCATTCTTTATTAGGAGAGTTTACTATTGGCCCACAACCGGATAGGCAAGAAATGATTTTCGGCAAGTGTTTTGATGTGTGGATTTGGTTCATACCTCTTTTAGTTTGATGTATGGATTTACACAACAAGAAACTCTTTCAGTTTGTTCATTATAGATGCAAATATTATTTTGAGCTCGGTAAACAACCGAGCATATCGATAGTTCATGAGTATTTGTCTGATTGCAATCTGCTCAACTGTGCCACAACATCTCATTCATACTTGATGCGAAACATCCCTCAGCAACATGCGGGGTATCTAGTTTTTCTCAATTGTTTTCATTAATTTCTTGCGAAAAAAGTATGAAATAAACACAGCACAACATAATGCAATACAGTTAACTTAGTCTTAGTCGGCAACTGATCAATCTTAATCAGCCCATGCAATCAACCTACAATAATACTCTCCTACTATTCCAAAGAGGAAGAGGACGAGCAGCCAAAACAGTAGTGCTGTCATGTGATTCCAAGACCTGAACAGAGCCATCTACATGTTCTTCTCTGCATTAGTCCCTTCCCTCCACACGTGAAGCTACGCGCCAACATCCTCTGTTTAGAGCGGGACCATGGAGGTTTTGTCCTAACCGGAACTCGTCGTCGGCCGTGCACACATGCATGCATGTCGTACGTTGCGATGTACACGTCTCTGTACAGTGTACATGCAGCATCGACCGATATTCCGGCGGCTGGCCGGTGCAGATCTGCATGCGCGGCGTCGCCGTTGACGTGCGGGCCGGCTCCAATGGACCATCGATCGGTCCGTGGTGGATGCATCATGCATGCCGGGAAGCGTGTCATCGGAGCTGCTCGGCGTCGTCGCCCTCGTCCGTGGAGGAACAGGAGGCGCCGCCGCAGGTGCTTGCGGCGACGTCGGTGACGCGCAGGCCGGTGTCGTAGACCGCGCCGGGCTGCCAATTCGCGGGGAGCACCGCCCCGTCGGCGCGCAGCCACTTGCCGCCGGAGCCCGCGGTGACCACAAGCCGGAGCTGCAGCAGACCGGCCGGCACGCGCGACGTGCGCCACATCGACGGGGACGCCTCGCGCCGGGTCATGTACTGCCAGGATGTCTGCAACGGTGCTGCGTCGTTGTTGGTGCCGCTGGAACCGGTGACCGCCTGCGCGACCTCGACGGCGGCGATGTCGGTCTGGCCGCCCTGGTAGAGGAAGCGGAGGGCGAGGTAACCCCGGTCCCTGCTGCTCGTCTCCTCCACTTTAACCGCCAAGTTCTTGCTCTTGTACACGCAGGGAATCCTCCTGAAGTCCACGTCGACGTCCGCGTCCGCGAGCTCGGCGTTACGGTCTGGCGTCGCCAAGGCGGCGAAGGCGTCCTTGGTGAGCAGAAACCGCCCACCGGCACCACCACCGGTCATGTTCGTCTCTGCCACGTCGGCGACGACGACGACCTTGACGCCGCCCGCCGCGCACGCGCTCCGTCCCCTGCACATCAGCTGGTAGCAGGCGCCGCAGGCCCGCCCACCGCGGAAGAAACTGGCGCTGACGGCCGCAATGTGGAGCCCCCCGTCGACGGCCATCTCCGCCGCCTGGCCACCATACCCGCAGGCGGCACCGGTCAGTGCGCCGGCGCCGGGAGGGAGGATGGACGCGGTGGACCTGCGCGGGCACCAGCCGCAGCGGTACGTCGCCGACGAGGCCCGCGCGGCCGGCGCCGAGGCCAGCAGCAGGATCAGGACGGCAACCGCCGCGGGGAAGAGGGTCAGAAGCAGCTGCGGCAAGGCGGCCATTATCGCCGTTGGTTGTTGTAGATGGAAGATGTGATGAAGTGATGATAGCCTAGAATTAGTCCCGTCCAGCGGATCGATGGATAAGGCAGTTGTGAGAGACTCGTTGAAGAGGCCGGGGGTGCGTGGTGGTTTAAAGCGAGCGGGAGGACGAGCGGCATGGGCCGGGGACGTGGGGAGCACGATCGATCCAAGCCAAGGTGAAGGTGGCGCGAATGCGACGTGACCTCGCTCTCATGCGCGCGCGCAGAAACGGTCGTAAACTCGATCGCTAGTTGGCTAGTGCGCGCGCGAGACTTTGCACACGAGATTCGAGGGTAAATGGGCGTCGACGTCGACCGGCCTTGTCCGATCAGGACATTTGTACGCGTACGACGACACACGGGTCGACACACAGGACGAACTCCATGCATGCATGCCCACCGTGAACTTTGTCCTGCGCAACGAGCGCATGCATGCTGCCAGCCTACGCATAACAGGCCGTGTTGATTCCGTCCGTGATCTTGCAGTGACTGCGTCCATTGCACTCTCGGCCGTGACGACAATGATTTCCATGCGACAGCTACTCGTGCACTTACATTTACTAGTAGAACCCCGTGCCTTGCTACGGGCTATAATGCATGTAAATAAATAAAATAAATGATTAAGGTCATCTTTAAGATCGAAATTCATTTCTTTATTATATGTGCGGTCATGTTTGGACATCATTCGGGCGGCCCGCGGGCTCCTAAAATCCAACCCTCTGGACAGTCAAAACTCCTCAAAATCATGCCCATATATGTGTGTGTGTGTGGGGAGGGGGGGGGGGGTTGATGTGGTTGTTTGTACTATCCACCGTATTATCTTCAACCCACGGTCCCAACAAAAAAACCTCACCCCACAACACACCCTTCCTTTTTCTCCACGACGCACCCTTCCCTTTTTGTCGAACCTTTCACTTTCTGCCCGGTTTCCGCCGTAGCGGGACATTTCTCATTGGATTCCTCTCCTTTATAACCGGATGACGCCTACCTCACCTTCGCCATGGCGCCCTCTCTTCTTCACACCGTACTCTCCCACGAACTGCCAAGGATGAGTCCCCCGCCAACCACCCTGCTCTCCGCCCTGATCCCCCCTCGTGTTCGTGCCCATCCACTACCGCCATCAAGGGGGGCGAGGCGTGCGCCACCCATAACGCCCCCAGCCAAGAAGGTAGATCTGATCTCTCTTGAGTCATTTCATAGTGTCTGTTATTGAGTCTTGAAGCAACCAACCAATACATTTACCGTTATGTCATAACCAGAAAAATGTACGACTTGATGAAAAATGCATGAACCACCCGCTCATGCAATTTGCTGCAAATCAATCTCTAATGAAACACAATTTGCCATATTTTCTAAAGCGGGGAAATAATTTCATGCATGCAACAGACCAATCCCAACACCCGTCCCGCTTACTCTCAACCATCACCCTTATAAAAAAACCACTAACTCTTGTTCTAAATGAGCCAGTGATTGACGCCACCGTGGCAACCCAGCAACAAGGGACAAGGGCGGCAACCGCCTTCCTATCTTAATGCTAGTCACCCCAGGCTCTATGATCCCTTACCATCAAAATCCTTCATTGCACAATCTCGAAGAAAGTAGCTTATTGGAAACACAGAGGAAAAGTTAGAGCTTCCATCCAGAGGAATGAGAGCACAAAATATTTCCATGGCTCTGCCTCTCAAAGGTTTAGGAAAAACTCAAACCCTCGTGCAAAATGGAGTCTAGTTCTCTAACCACACCAAAAAAATAACCCAACACACTGACTTTTACAAGGATACACTATTAAGAGTCATACTACACCTATAGGGTTTCATCTGGAGGGGCTTTATAGCCTGGGGTAAAATTCACAGGCCGCGCGCACTAATGAAATCAAGGAGTGGAAATTAATAGGATGTTTCCTATTTGGTGCTGCAGGCACCAGTTATAGCTCATTTTGCAAACGGGTGCCTGCAGCGCTATGAGCTGGGCCAACTCATCTACTTTTTTCTTTCTCTTTTTTAAAACAAAAAAGAAGTGCGTACTACGACTCTAACAGGCGACCTCCTGCTACGAGCTACAATGCACCAACCACTCTGCCAGCAAACCTCACGTGACTACATTCATCGTTCCATTCTTTTCATCTTTCCTCTTTTCTTCTTTTTTGGACCCTCATAAGTGCCACATATATGGCACAAAGCAATTTCGCCCTGATGTTTTTTTATGACAACTTTAGTTGTGAAATATGGCAACTTTCTGTTTAGATGGCAAGTTTCAGTTTTATTGGGGTTTCATTTTTTCGGATAGCAATTTTAGTTGAAAAACTCTCGAGGAATAAGGTAGGCGGAATTTGCTTCAGCAGATGACTAAGGCGAAGTCTATCGAGAGAATTCAGCTGCCGTGTATTACCTTCTGATGATTATAGTCGGCAAACGAGCAAAGGATATACAACAAATATATACATGCAGAAATGTGGGCTCTTGGAGCCTTGTGCTAGTCAAACAACAAAAGAGTTCATATCTTAAAAAATACCAAAGAGCTTCAACACATATACAAATGGAAGAAGCCACAGAAGCATCACCTTTTACATGTATGCAACACAGCCTAGCTAGTCAAACAAAGATACTGTAGCTTACTCAACAGATAATTCCTTCAAGACAGGAAGAGGATAGAAGCTTAACTGCAGTTGTTTACGAGAAATATAATATGCTCTTAGATATGAAACTTTAGAATATTTAGAAGGCCTGTAGTTTATTAATTATCACTACATCACAACCATTGCAAATGGTGGCATGCCATTTGAAGTTCTCTAAAAATTAGCATTATTACTTGGCAAGATTACAAAGCTTTGTGTGAAAATTTCAGGACATCATTGAATGAGAGAGGGCATGTCTTACAAATTAGTAACTTCAGTGTTGAAATTGTGAGTTATCAGGCAAGTACCTGAAGCAGGATATCTACAATGGAAAACATCATGACATATTTAAACCTCTCGACCTCCCGTTTTCATGTCTGCATAGGCACTAAGGACCAAGTCATACTTCTTTCAATTGAAGGGACAACTTCAAAACATTTCTTCTCTGCCTTGGTGAACATCGTGACATCTTTAAACCAAAGAAAATGCATGATAATGTGGATAACTGAACATGGACAGTTGGAAAAAAGAACCTCACTAATTCAGATTGACTACAATCAGTCCAAAAGTCAGATTTCTGACCAAGGAAAATCTGGAGAAGTGTGACTACCGTATTAGGGAATTAACCACATACAACACTATACATCAATGAATAAGGGTCATCACGGCATGTAATAACAAAAAACTAATGGCATGGCCTCCCTTATAAATCACACCAAGATGAAAAATAGTTACAAGCAGGGTCTAATAGTTTGCTGGAGAGAGGAAAGGTAGCAGTTCCATTTATCCTTAGAAGACAATCAGTTAGAATTGACAGATTCATACATGGCCATCCGTTATTGCAGCTACCAATATGGGGGCTCGGTGTTGGCTCCAGCTTCATCCAGGGTGGCCAAGGTTTCACAATATTAGTGTTATCCCGCCAAATGGCTTTTGCTCACCATTCCGTAGGATTGCACATAAAAGTCAGCTGTTGATACAAATAAACTATCTATTTTGGTGGAACTGGTTCTACTTTTTTATAGCAGCCAAACCAATCCAGAAGACCGGCAACCACCTAGGAAGGAAAGTTCTTGTGCACATCTCTTCCTCCTAGTGTAACCCAATTGACAGATTGCATTACCTGGAGCTCACATAGTTGTGGTTCTGGCCAGAGAGTTGCTTCGACATGCCGCTGAACACCTGATTGACGCCCCAACGGTGCACTTGTACGTGCGCTACACAAACAGAGAAGCACACCTGCAGCTGGAGGGTGAAGGAGCCACGAGGAGCCCAACCGAGGTCATAGAAGCCGCAGGGCAGTGGCACTAAACAGTGGTCAAGGATGACGACCGCGTAGACATCGGCGGAGCCGGCGGGGTCTCTTGCCAAAGCGGAAGATGAATTCTTTAACACTTCTCTTTACCTTTCAGAGTCATCAACAATGACAGTAATGTTGAAAGAATTAGCATAAATAATATAGTGATACTAAAAACTTGATGGCATGATTAGGTAAATAAATCATTGCTGCTCATTCTCACTTTACTGACTCATAATGATCAAGCCTATAAACCATGATCTGACCATGGACAACAAAGACAAAATGGCCAAATAAACTATAAATAGAACTGTAGCAGCTTGATTGCGTACCAACAAAATTTACATGGCAGTGTGATGGTAATGTGCACTCAACCCTGTGTTACAGGCCACTTGCAATTGAACAAGGATTCAAATCAGCACCTGACAATTTGTTGAACACTTACCGATGAGTCGGCAATAATGTGACCGATGCGGGACGAGCTTGGACACATTGAGGATGACCACAAAACGGCCGCCGGCCCCCTTGATCATCTTCTCGTAGAAAAGAAAGCTGTTGCTGCCCTCTCAGGCCGCTGATGTGCTGCACGCGATGCTCAGACTCCACAGCAGGTCTTCCTTGCTGAATCCTGCATCAGTTCACATTTGCCTAGCACGTCAGTAAATCCTTCCAAAGGAAAGGAGCTACAGAATCCGTCAGTTAAACTTCTTGGTATCTGTCTGAAGTAATCAATCACCTGAGGGTAGAGCCTCTCTCGAACCGGTAGTAGTAGGAGTCTTTGTTGCTGGACACTATTCTATAGCATTCTTCATCTTCTCAGTAAAAGCCTTCAGGCCATCGATCTAGTTGTAGCCGACGCGGTCACTGAACTGCATTCCTTCTGCCTGTACAAGATACGCTATGGAGGGGAACATTGCAGTTGCAGAAAGCATTAGTTCAGAATGCGGCCCATGTGCAGGCGACCGATGGCTCCTGCTCGATGGTGTCGACCACCGCTCCTTGGCCACGAAGATACGCTATGGCGTCGACCATTCCTCTTGCACCGCGTCAGACCGCTCCGGCTGGGCTC